ACTTAAAATATCGAAAAATATACAGCGCGCGAATTTTAAATGAGAATTTCCGAAAACTTTTCGGTCACAATGTACTAAAGTGATATATTGTTCAAACTTATTGTGCGTTGGATATACATAGCTCTTGAACTGCGTACTGTAGATATGAGATGACAGTGCTAAACGTGCTTAAATAAAAATTTCAAAACCATGTAGAAGAAATAAAACAATTACAAGATTTATTATTGAACACCTGGAAAATAATACAAGACACCAAACTTCTTGCGGAGAAACAACCTGATAAAGTTAAAGCTCAAACCGCGTAACAAAGTCTTATGATAATTGCAATGATTATGATATGATATTATAAACAGTTTTCTGAAAGTGATATCCAGTCAATTTACTTGAATGAATGTATGAATATTAGTATGATTTGTAACCACATACTTTTTTTTTGAAAGGTCGTGTGAATGAGATTACCCTTCAAGGTACTATAAATAATGCGTCAGGTACAACTGAAAAACTTATAGAGTTGAAGTAAAAACAATATATGCGTTATGACTAAGTGCGACTCATCAAATTCTTATTTCTGTTAAATGACGAAAAAGAACCATTTCTAATCGACTAACTGATAATAGTTTGCGTTTATATATGTATGTATGTACATACATATGTATGCTTATTATAGGTTCTAATTGATGTACAAATTCATACGAATTAGTGAGAGATTTAAACTGGTTCAGAGTTTTATGAAATTAAATTTTTATTTTGTTTTAAACAAATCTAATATTAAATTTAAATGTATTTTTTTATCATATATAATAATAATTTTTTTAAACTAGACAAGAAGGCGGAACACTTATAAGGCTTATCGCACCATTCATAAACATTTTTATCATTTTCCTACAAAAACGTGTAATAATACAATGCAATTTATTTATGTATATAAAAAGTAACTGTTTTCTCATGGACTGTGTGAACATGCTAATAAATTATTTCAATTTTTTTTCTTTGTATAAATAATCTCAAACGAAATTGTATGCAAATTGTTTGAATAATTAATATTTGGTGCGACAGAAGCGGTTAAAACGTAGCAAAACAACTTATGGGCGCCAAATTTTTTATACATATATATATATATATAGATATAATCTGAAAAAAAATCACAAATATTACTCAATATATTAAAAATTAAAAATATTTTAAAAAACAAACTTAAATTCACTATAATATGATACCTAATCCTAATTTAACATAATATGCATTTATATATATGTATGTATATATGAAACGACGTTTAACTAAAACATCAAATTTTATTTAAAAATAGTTATTTTAAATGGTATGAATAAAAACCAAGATAACAGTATTGAAATTATTTGAAAATTGAAAAAAAAAAGAACACAAAAAAAAAACTTGCATATGCAGCATTTTTAAATAAATAAAATATTTACCACTCATGTTTTGCTAAGTATTAAATTTGTAATATAGACTTGACAACAACAATTCTCATTACCACTTCACCCCCACACAAACTGACCACAAACGTTGTGATTAGAAATTGTTAGTATCACGATTATGAATCCATATAAATACCTGTGCATATAGCATCTCCTCACTTGACATATTTTCACTGATTGATTCAATTCTTTACAAACACAAATTATACTTTTTAAATTCATTCAAGGTTTAATTTTTATTGAAAATTTTGCACAAATATTTTATATTTTTATTGATTATTTGAAATAAACTAAACATTTAATCTACAATTTTGAAATTTAAACAAAGAGCCCGCAAGTAAGTTTAATGCCATAAGAAGAAAACTAAAAATATATAAAAGGAAAAAACCGTCAACAGAAACCAATAACTTCTTTGACAACGTTGACAACATTTAACAAAAACTAAAGCAAAGGCATTGCTGAACCAAAGCTCACTAGATATAATTGTTTAACTACTTGTTCTGTAGTAGCTCTATTAGCCGTAGTAGTTATTCTGCCAATTTGCTTCAACTAGCAACCCATTTAGTACTTACTAGCAACCCGCAATAATAACAAATATCAGGTGTTTTTATTTACATTGTGCGGTGTTATTAATAGTGTTCTCTCTTTCTCCTGGAATTTTTCAAATATTTCACGGTATGTACTCCATTACCATTAAATTTAAACTAAAACTTTAATATAATAGCTAATAAAAATTTTATAAAAAAAATAAAAATGAACACTTCTCCAAAATAAATAAGAATCATATTATGACAGTTTTATTTTAGTTTTAAATATGTTTTATTATAAAAACACCCACAATAATTAATAAGTATTTAGAGTATTTAAAATGAAATATTACATATTATAATTTACTTTTACCGGGCTGTCGTTTTTTAATTTAATTTCATTTTAAATTGAAAATCGTTATATATTATTTTCTTAAATGTATTATTAAATTATTTTCATTAACATTTTTAAATAATAAATATTTCCACATACCTCGCAGCTTTTCTTCAGTGCATATACACTTAATCATTTTACAAAATTAACTTCATTTTTTTTTTAAAATAACACTCGGTAAATATTAATAATATATAAATAAAAAAAATTTAATTTTTTATTATTAAAAATTATTTATATACTTGAAAAGAATGAAATAAATACAACGTAATAAATACTAACAAAAGTTTGTTAGCTTGAGGTTGTTTGGTAGCAAAAAAAATATTTTATAAAATTAATACCCTCTCGAAATGTCTATACGTTAAAAAATATTTTATTCGCCATTGCATAAAATTGTTAGAATTGCAATATATAATGTTTTAAAATCAAATTAGTTTTTTAATCAACGTTAACAAATAAATATGATTTTTTCGCTAACACAACTATAATTTTAATTAAATCAATTAAAGAACATAAATAAAATATTTAAATATATTCAATATTACTGGAAACACAAGACATAAACATATTTTATTTCTATAAAATCTAAGTAGAATTTCATAAATCCAATAAATTACATACTTATATTTCATTTACATATGAACTTAATCGTTTAAATGCCTTCATTTTTTTTTTCAATTTAGGTCTAGTACTAACATCTATTTTGCAGGATATGTTGACAAAAAACTGAGTATAAAGCCGGAACAAATTTAATGATCGACAACCACTCGATCGCCCTAATATGGCCCTAACATAATAAATGTTTCTTATTATAATAAATGAGTGTTGAATGAATTAGTATTAAAATACTGTATTGTACTTAAATATTGCATGGCACATATTCAAAGAGAATGTTAAATAAAACAATTTTATTATTTACATAATGAATTCGGGTGTGTAAATAATTAACTAGTTTGTGTACATAAAAAAAATAAGTTATTTCTTTATAACTTATAGACTTTTTCAATTAAATATTAATCAATAATCGATAAATATACATAAAAATATAACATATTAACCATTAAAAACAATATATATATATATGTATATTATTGCTAACTATTAAGTATCAAATTTTTGGTAGCCTGAAACACTAACATACAAAATAAGAAAAAAAGCAAAATGGTAATACTGACAAACATATTTCGCGCGCTTTTCGTTTCGATCGCAACAAGATTGTTGTGAAGTGTGCGTTTCGTAGTTGTAAATAATAATACAATTAATTCGGAGATAAAATAAAATTATAGTATTAAAAAATGTCGAGCCCAGCGCGTATTTCTAATCCAAGTACACCTTTGGCTGGTAAACATTAAATATTTAAAAATATTCAGTATATATTTCATGTTATATTTTTATAGCTCCACCACCAATTGATGTGGAGACACCTATGCGTATGGGTCGGGCACATGTTCAGCATTCTGATAATATAAGTTTACCACCCACTTCTCCTAGAGTAAGTATAGCCGCAACCAGTCCAGCACGAGGTCTAGGATGCGGCATGAGCGAAATTGATTTGAGTTCCCCTTTAAATTATGGTACTCCCAGTTCAATGGGCTCCATACGTACACCACGATCTGGCATACGTGGAACACCTTTACGCACTCGTCCTGATATACGTACCGACAAGCGCATGCGTCAGGTAGCAATTGGAGGTGATGGGGTAAGTTAACATTTTTAATTCTAAACTAGTTTGTTTATAAGATTATCTTTTAGTTGGAACCAATAACAGAAAGACATTCAGAGACTGATCCTATATCTGAGGCGTCGACAGGACCACAAATTGTTGTCTGGGGCACAAATGTGGTAGTCAGTCAATGTAAAACAAAATTTCAAGCTTTTCTAATGCGTTACATAGATCCAACAGCTGAGCAAGATGAAATATCTGAAAATATTGATGTAAATCAACCATTGTATATGCAAAAGCTTGAGGAAATACATACACTGGAAGAACCGTATCTTAATCTTAATTGTGCTCACCTTAAAACATATGATGCAGCTTTGTATCATCAATTAATATGTTATCCTCAAGAAGTAATCCCAACTTTCGATATGGCAGTAAATGAAATGTTTTTCGAAAAGTATCCAGCTGCTATTTTGGAACATCAGATTCAAGTGCGTCCATTTAATGCTGATAAAACACGTAATATGCGCTCACTTAATCCTGAAGATATGGATCAATTAATAAGTATTAGTGGCATGGTAATAAGAACTTCAAATGTTATACCGGAAATGCGTGAAGCATTCTTTAAGTGCATTATATGCGATTTTATATCTACGGTAGATGTTGAACGGGGTCGCATTGCCCAACCAACTCTTTGTACAAATTGTAACACTAATCACTGTTTTCGACTTGTGCACAATCGCTCGGAATTCACTGATAAGCAACTTGTAAAATTGCAAGAATCTCCAGATGATATGGCTGCTGGACAAACTCCACACAATGTGCTACTGTATGCTCATAATGATTTAGTCGACAAAGTTCAACCTGGTGATCGTGTAACTGTTACTGGAATTTATCGTGCTGTTCCAATGAAAGGAAAAGGCAACAATGTTAAGAGCGTGTATAAAACTCATATTGATGTAGTACATTTTCGTAAAGTTGACAACAAACGCCTTTATGAAGAGGAAGAAGGGTGGGACTTATTCATCAAATATTCGTTAAACCGATTTTATATATTTCTATCTTTTTAGAAAAGATCATATATTTCCGCCAGAACGTATTGGATTATTGCACATGCTTTCACAAAAACCTGATGTATATGATCGTTTAGCTAAAGCGATAGCTCCTTCTATTTATGAAAATGACGATATTAAAAAAGGCATTTTACTACAACTATTTGGAGGTACCAAAAAGAAGCATACCACTATGGGAAGACAAAATTTCAGGTAGCTATTTATATATTTAATATTTCATATAATATTTTAAAAAATTTACATATATTTTAGATCTGAAATTCATTTACTCTTATGTGGTGATCCCGGTACTTCTAAGTCTCAAATGCTACAATATGTTTACAATCTGGTTCCACGTTCACAATACACTTCAGGTAGAGGTTCTTCTGCTGTAGGTTTGACAGCTTATGTTACCAAAGATCCAGAAACTCGTCAGTTGGTTTTACAAACGTATGTGCATTTATTTTTTATACTTAATTATATAAATATAATTGTAAATAAATATCTTTCAAACTAGTGGTGCTTTGGTACTGGCTGATAACGGCGTCTGTTGTATTGATGAGTTCGATAAAATGAATGATGCTACACGTAGTGTTTTGCATGAAGTAATGGAACAGCAAACATTAAGTATAGCTAAGGCTGGTATCATTTGTCAGCTTAATGCACGTACTTCCATACTGGCTGCTGCAAATCCAGCTGAATCCCAATGGAATACAAAGAAAAATATAATTGATAATGTGCATCTGCCTCATACGTTGCTTTCACGTTTTGATCTTATATTTTTGGTTCTTGATCCACAAGATGAAATATTTGATCGTCGTTTGGCAAATCATTTGGTTTCATTATATTATGTTTCTAGACAAGAGGAAGAAGACACTATGTTTGTAAGTTCAAAATAATTAGGCATAGTAAAATTTTATTAAATAATTATTTTATAAGGATATGAGTGTTCTTCGTGATTATATAGCCTACGCCCGTGAACATATTTCTCCCACGTTAACTGAAGAAGCACAGCAACGTCTTATACAGGCATACGTTGATATGCGAAAAGTTGGTGCACGAAGAGGTCAGATTTCAGCTTACCCACGTCAATTGGAAAGTTTAATTCGTCTTTCCGAAGCGCATGCTAAAGTTCGTCTTAGTAATGAAGTCACAGTAACAGATGTTGAAGAGGCTTGGAGGTATATTATAAGATATATTATAAAAATTTAAATAATTAATTAATTAATTTTTTGATAAAGACTACATCGTGAAGCTTTGAAACAATCAGCAACAGATCCTCTATCCGGTAAAATTGATGTTGGTATCTTAACAACTGGTTTATCGACAGCTGCACGAAAGAAACGCGCTGAGTTAGTGGAAGCCATAAAGGAAAATTTGAAAAAGAAAGGAAAAATTCCTACTGTCCCTTATCAAAAACTGTTTAAAGAGATCAAGGAAGCCTCACAGATTGTAAGTTAAAATTTGTAATAATATTTATAAATACTTTTCAACATTTTTATGTGCTTACTGTATGTTTTAAAAATGTTTAGCTTGCATTTTTTGATTCGGTTTAATTTTCTTTTTAGCTCATAACTCGTGAACAATTTGAAGATGCTTTGAAGGAAATTCAAGATGAAGGCACGATTGTTGTTATGGG